CTCCAACCCCACATTCAAATGTCTAGATGTTTTTCCCACATAAACTGCATTGGAATCATAACAGTTGATCTCATTGACAATATTCTGTTTTTCTTCCTTTGGAAACATACCCTAAACTTTCACTAATGTTGACCTTATGGTATCACTATCCCTAAAATACACTGTTATATTATACTTGTACCAATAACCTATCGCTACATTTTTGGATTACCTAATTGTTCAGCCAAGATACAATTTATTTTTTCAGTATAGGGTTTTGGGGATCGCTTTTTAATCGAAATCATGTTGCGCTACTATTGAAGACCTGTAAGCATTGAAAGGACATTTCATCTTAATATTAAACTCCTCAGCAATGTTCATTTATAGTCTCGCATACGGGACTCGTCAGTCGGCTACAACGTAGGACCAGGCACATATATACTTCGGCTCAAGTTGCCATACCTCATTATCACAACAAGATGAACACCGAAATTCATAGAGGCAATTCATTCAATGGTGGTAATATATAAAAGAAAGATTGCATATAAGGACACAAGTACAGGAAGAAAGAATTAGTGTGTAGAAAGAAAGATATAAAATTATTTTAATCTCATCACTTTAAGGAAGACAAAATATGTATACATCTACACCATTGTAATCGATTCTAAGCTCAAGACCTTCAATCTTATTCATAAGCTTAACCTCTAAACTACTAAGCCAACATCCAATATTGTTCATATTTAACTTGAACTTTGAATTACTAACATGATTGATGAAGAGTGCTGTTAGAGGTATGAGGAAGATTATCACTTCCCGGTTGCCCACACCGTGGAAGGGTTCTTCTGGAGGTGGCTGAAAAGGAAATTGGATTAAAGGTGGTCTTAGTGACCTTAGAGCGTGCCCAAGGGACAACTGCTTGAGGTCGGTCACACACGACCTTTTTATGGGTAATTTTTGTGTTAGCTCCGTACATGTTGAGACCTTAACGCTGGAGACGGATATCCGTGATATAAGGCGAGGTGTGCATTTTTAGGGTCGACCTTTTCTAACCCCACCCCGCCTTCTGGGAAGGCAGTATCACTGTCATGCTGGTTGTCTGAAGAAAACACCTTACTGCTGTCACACCTCTGTACAGTCAGCAGTATGACTTCGCCTGCGGACCTTGGGTTTGTTGCTTTTAGTCTTACCGCTGTTTAACCGACCTGTCTGACATGGTAGGACCTTGAGCAACGGTTATTCCAGCCAGTATAGCTCGGTTGCTTTATCAAGATAGGCAAGCCCGACCATCACATCAAGGTAGCAACAACGGTCGGGACATGATTAGTGTACCATTCAAATAGTCAATCATTCTATTCACTTTTATGATATCTTACATCTTTTTTTTTCTTCCCTCTCCCTCTCATAGATTTCATCTGATCCTCAAAGATTGATCGAATCCATACGTTTAATATTTCATTCATCTATTCAATCTTTATTAAATCATACAAGTACATTATTAAATAATCAATTTGAACAATTATTTGCTAATATTATACCATGTAATAATATTAATAAAATATTAATGATTATATTAAATCTATTTTGTAATAGAACAAATAGTAATATATTAAGTTTAGGATGTTTTATATTGATTATATCGATATCGTATTTTTTATTGATTATTACTTTATTTATTTTTATTATATATTCTAGAAAACATATTGATTTATTGATTTATACAAAATGGGAAAATATTCCATTATATAATTCTGTGAAATTATGTTATAAACTTCTTAAATATAATTAGTTGTTTGTTTGTTTGTTTTTATTATTATTATAATTTTCACAGATTGAACTCATGAGTCAGTTGAAGCTAGACCACCATTGAAAACCTGCTCACTAGTGACTGACTTCAGGAGACACCTCTGGAGTTCTAGTGAGAAGTCGTTACCAGTGGAGTTCAACCAGGTCTGTTGTGAGATAGGAACTCACTAAAGACAATGGTGTACGGTAGCGCAACTTCGTGGATTGGTTGAAGTTAGACATTAACACCGTTGGATGCCGGCCCAGTGGTCTAATGGTTAAGTGCTCGCGCGCGAAGCCAGTAGGTCCTGGGTTCCAGCCCTGGGTGGTGCGGGGTCGTGGATGAGCACTGCTGAGGAGTCCCATACTAGGACGAAACGGCCGTCCAGTGCTTCCAGGTTTTCAATGGTGGTCTAGCTTCAACTGACTCATGAGTTCAATCTGTGAAAGTTTCTAAAAATCTCCACAAAACACATTCTGATAATTATTATAAAAAAGGTTGTATGGTGTAAGATGGAACAATTTTGTGGATTGGTTGAAGTTAAATATTAACACCGTTGGATATCGTCCAGCTCAGTGGTTTAATGGCTAAGCTCTCGTGAGCGAGACTAATAGGTACTGAGGGGGCGGGATTGTGAATGCGCACTGCTGAGGAGTCCTATACTGGGACGAAATGGCCATTCAGTGCTTCAAGGTTTTTCATAGTGGTCTAGCTTCAATTGACTCATGATTTCAACTATTGAAATTTCCAAAATCTCCACAAAACTCTTGAGGATTCCATGTGAGGTCTTGCCTTGTGACGCAGTTCGGTGCTTTCCTCAATGTGTGTCCTACTCACTTCCAGCGGTTCTTCCTGATTTCTTCCTCCACCGGGATCTGGTTTGTTTTCTCTCACAGTTGGCTGTTGCTAACAGAGTATGGCCAACAGATTCGAAGTATTTTGTGTATACAGCTGTTAATAAACACTTTTGTCTTCTGAATGATGGCTTTCGTAGTCCTCCAGGTTTCGTGATGCAGTTTGATGATTTCCGTATTCTATGTCCTATCCACTTCCAACATCTTTTCCTAACTTCCTCTTCAGCTGGTTTGTTCTCTCTTACAGTACGCTGTTGCTGATGGTATCCTGCTAATAGATATTGAGTATCTTGAATAGACAGCTATTCATAAATACTTGTACCTTCTTGATGATGGTTGTGGTAGTTCTCCACGTTTCAGCTCCATACAGTAGGACTGTCTTGACGATCACTGCAGATTCTGGTTTGATATTGGTTGAAAGTTGTTTTGAGTTCCGTATATTCTTCAATTGTAGGAATGTGACCTTTGCTTGGCCAATCCTCGCCTTTACGTGTGTATCCGACCCTCCATGTTCATCGATGATGCTTCCCAGGTACATGAAAGAGTCCACATATTCCAGAGCTTCTCCATCAAGTGTGATTAGGTTGATTTTCTCCATGTTGCATTTGAGCATCTCGGTTTTCCCTTTGTATATGTTGAGGCCTACTGCTGCACAGTCTGCTGCTACACTAGTTGTCTTCATCTTCATTCGTTCGTGTGTATGGGACAGAAGAACCAGATCATCTGCAAAGTCCAAATCTTTAAATTGTTTCCGAGCTGTCTATTGTATTCCATGTATCCCCTCAGATATCTAACTCTTCATAATCCAGTCAACCACCATAAGAAAGAGAAAGGGGGAGAGTAAGGTGTCTTGTTTACCTCCGGTCCTCACTTGGAATGTGTCTGTCTGCTGTCCCCTATACACCACTTAGCAGTGTAGTTCGTCTCACGAACTTCGGATGGTGTTAACGATATTCCCAGCTACTCACTCCATAGTGTCGAAAAAGTCTCCATAATGTTGTCCTATCCACTCTATCAAACGCCTTCTCATAATTGAGGAAATTGACGTATCGTGACGAGTTTCATTCAACTGGTTGTTCAACGATGATCTGTAGCGTCGTGAATTGGTCTCTGCACGACTGCTTCTTACGGAATCGGGTTTGTTGATCTCGGAGCTAGTCGTCTACTTAGTCTTTAATCCGGTTTACTAACACTCAGTTGAAAATCCTTCCTGTTACTGACAGTAGTAGTTCTTACATTTGCTCAGATCTCCTTTCTTTGATACATTGATGAGGTGTCCTTCTTTCTAGTCTGTAGGCACTTGTTACTCCTCTCAAACCTTTCTGAATAAAATGTGCAACAAGATTGTAGTTGATTTTATGTCCGATTTCAGTGCTTCATACGGTATTCTATCTAGTCACACCGCTTTCCCACTCTTGATTTGTCTGAGTTACATGCTAATGTTTTCGATTGTTAATGTGATAACATTTATAAGAAGGTTTATAATTGTAGCTTCGATATTCATTAGATTCAGTTTGGCTAATCTATTCAAAAGTTCTTCTTCTCATTACTTACATTAAACTAAATCAAACTGATTTATATCAGTCATAACACATATTCACTTGTTTTTACTTAGAAACTATTAGTTTCATGATTGTACTTAACAAGAGGATATTAGTTTCAATGGAACACTCCCATATAAGAATGTAGTTATCTAAAAAGCCTGTAACATTATAACATTCATTTTAATGATAACAATAATAACGGTAAAGTAAATGTAAAACCAAAAAACAAACAAAACAAATAAACAAACACAAAAATTTCATTTCCATTATTAATCAACAAATATAACCCAATTTAAACAAATAGATCAATGAAAATAAAAATAGAAAAAAGAAGAAAAGAGAAAAAAAAGAAAAAAGAAAACCAATGAAAAACAACCAAATGACTAATATCACATCACATTGAACATTGAAAATGACAAATCGATAATTTTGTTTATTCAAAACAAAAAAAAAGCGGAACCAGAACAAAACACAAGATGAATAGTTTTCAATAGAAAACTCATAAGTTGACATACGATAAAAATGTTGTTTATATGCTGGTATCAACTAATAGCTCTTCACAACATATATCAACAAACAAGTAAAAAAAGATGAAAAGATAAGGGGAAATGACTTTATGAAAACTTCATCTCTATGGAACATTCATTGGTCACATTTAGTTGTTCTTCCTCTTCTTTGTTGTTGTTGTTGTTGTTGAAATATGGAGTTTATCTTCGGATGAAGTGATCATTAAAACACACATCACATAAATGGCAACACAACTTATGACAGGAAGACAAAACAAATAATAAATCAAGCAGTCTATTTTTTTTGTTTATGTAGGAATTCATAAGAAACTAACTATTTAGCTGTTGAATTTGTTGATGTTTCATCTGTTGTCGGCTTCTCAGTATTTTCAACCGCTTCTTCAGCCTGAAATTAGAATTACATCAAGTACTTAAGATATAATCCAGGTACGTGGTATATATATTCCAATTTAAACACATGTTTTCCATAACAGTGAGATTTATCACTGACATACCAATCAATCACAATTAAATGATTCTTATACAGATTGAATTATTCTCATGTTGATATTTTGTCTGAAGCTTGATCAGTCTTGGTTGGCATATGCGTATCCAATGTGGATTGACTGGATATTAGCTAATACGACTCAAGTTTATATAGAATAGAGGAATTATGGTTAGGTTTGGCATTATGGACGCACGTTTTGTCTTTTTTGGTACTTATTAGTTAAGTGTATCTGAATCTCAGGATTGATGTCTTCCGGGACTTAAAATCAGTTGCTTTTGATATCGACACCAACACATTATCCACTTAGCTTCTTAATCGAGATAGCCACTAACTAGACCCCAATTATGAATTCCGTTACCAGCTATATCCCATTCAATCGATTTAAGCACACCATCTTGTATGTAAATATTAGAAAATTACTTATAGAATCTACTGTTTCATCAATTGGAAAAACTTATTTACTTTCGTTTCTCGGAAGTAAATACACAGTTAATTTTCTTCAAATGTACTGAAGAGTTTAGTGACTAGTATTTTGTCTGTAATATTGGATTACCACGTAACAAATCTAGTGTCAGTATCATGAATCATGTCAACTACTGGTTTGCATGTCTACCTTACTCAGTCCCCGGCATTATACACCCATCTTACGATGACATCGGTAACTAATTGCCTACAGTGATCTGAAGGTCCTGAGTTCGCTCTACAATGATACTGTTATGCATGGACAGCATTGAGTAGTCCTGTACTAAAATGAAACCAGTGTCTTTCACTGGTTGTTTAACTAAGATGATGTAAACTATGAAATCCAACGATCTCCATATAACCTCACTAATAGGTATCATCTATAAATAAATGTTATCACAGATGAATCACTGTAGCTTCTAAGATAACTAACTGAGAAAAGCTTATTAATATTTTTAAATAGCATAATCTTATGAATATACTAAATATGATTTAAGTACCAAATGGTCAATGTGACATTTTATAATACCCATATAAATAAATAGGATGAAGAAACCTTTCAGTAAACTTACATCCTTTTCCTTCAATTTAGGGATTAAAACAACTTTACCGATATTCTTCCTTTCTTGTAAACGCATCATAGCCTCTTTAGTCTGCAATTAGAAAGACATATCATTTTAAAAACAACTTGCACTAAGATATTTCATGAAAGATATAAATGAAAGTAAACGAAAACTTCTGTTAACCAAGTTAAGAAGAACTATATCACCCTTAATGAAGTCTTTTTCCGATGAAATCAAAAATCAAAATTCAAACAGTAGCTTTGTAAACAGTCCAAATCCTATTCCAAAACAATCAAATAAACTTGAAATTATTCAATCAGTCAAAAGAAACAATCTTGATTAACTGATTATTTGAGTTTTATGAACTAAATTAATCTAGTTTATCGGTTGATAAACATCAAATGAACTACAAGAGTTTATGTATTAAAATCAAACAATATTCAGTAACTAACAATATTAATCATTCGCTCAAATAATCAGTAATATTGGGAAGAATTATTGTTTATTTATTATTTATTTTAACACACAGATATTGGTACAAGGAGGCACCAAATACATATGCGCCACACAGATCTCACTTGATATGTGTGAGGGCTGTGATACTGCCCAGGTGCCAAAAACAAAGCAGGTGGTTTCCTTAGGGGGCCACACCCGGAGCCTTCGACCTGAAGGTCTGATCCATAAGGCAGTGGAGCATCGTAAAGAGATGCAGTCCCATGGAAACCGGTGACAAACAATTGGTTCATACTCCATTTGTTCCCGAGGGATACTGGAGCCCATGTGCACCATTGGTTTGGAATCAGGATTTTCCAACTCCCTTAGGTGGACTCTCCATGTCCACCAACCCGGTTAAAGCGCCGAACATTTGCTTTTCGTCCTCTCAATTTCTTAAACAATACCCCCTCCACAAGAAGGCAGCCATTAGGACTTCCCTAGCAGAGGCTATATAAACGTGGACATGTGAGGGGATTTCGAGAGGGAGAGCGGACTCTCCGCACTCTCGGCCGTACCAGGGCATTCGGGGGAAGAATTTCTTTAAGGCAATTGGGAAAACATGACCAGTGGTATTCATCTGTATCGAAAATGAGACTATTAGTCATAGTAATAACATTTATTCTAGTCCTTAGTGTAGAATACTAAGGAGTCCTGTTTAAAAAAGAAAACAATTTTTTAGTATCCATTTGTTTTGTATAATTTCTCATAAACATTTCAGTGATAATCGTTTGCGCTATTAATGTTTTAAAGTGTTTGTTACCAAAATGTTCTATAGAAAACAATCAAAGATGGTTACGCAATACCGTAGATTGATTGAAGTTAGACCTTAATATCGTTAGATACCGCCTCAATGGTCTTGAGGTTAAGCGTTCACGAATGAAACCGAATGTCTCGGGTTCGAATACCGTGCTCAGGAACATGATTATGCACTGCTGAGTAGTCCTATGCTAGGACGAAATGGCCATCAATTGCTTGCAGGTTACCAGTGGTGGTCTAACATTGATCAATTCATGATCTAAGTCAAAACGTAAGAATCTCCACGACCCTGTACTGATGATTAATAAACTTCATCTTTCCAATACATAGGTTACGTTTGAAATAAATATAATACATCTGAAATATCATAGAACTAAGAAGTATGCACTCATGATGTTACCTTGGATCTAACCCAGGATCTTCAAGTGTCAAAGCGAACACTTAGCCATTAGAACCACTAATCCATCTTTGAATAGTAATAATTCGACAATTATCCAGTGTCATTAGAAACATATATATTACTCTCGATGTATTTTTAATTTTACCAATCTCCAAGATGTATGGAGCTTTATAATTTATATGTGCGTTACAGAATTTTACCATAGTTAAAAATAATCAAGATCTACTTACCATAAATAACTTAAGGTTTTAACTATAATAACCATGTTTTTGTGTTGTTTATTTGGATCATCACATTCATGTTTAGGAATGCAATTAGTCATATTCAAATAGTCAATACAAAAATGAATTAAACTTTATTCCATTAAACAAGTTAGTGGTTATCTGAACTCAATAATTAAGTGGATAACTCGATGGTATTTGAAATGAACGGTATTCAGTTCGAGTTTTGGAATGAATACCAACTGCAGCTGACGAGTCTCAACTAGGATGAAACATGCATCCTAGATCTCATTGCTAGTCATCTATATCTTTACTTATTAATAATCATAGTCTATTTAAGTTAACTTTTCAACCAATGTACATTAACTATTGACTGTTTTAGTTTCCTTAATCTTTTAAACAAAAGTTTTTTAATCGTTATCAAATAAAACCACTTCAAAACTACTTTTTATAAATAGTTGACTAGATATAAATTACTTTTTTTGATACGCATAATCACGCTTGAATAAATATCAAGTTAATAAAATGCTATTTTCAAATCAAAACTGAAGGTAAATAATTGAATCAATTTACTATTAAATTAGAAGGAATGAAATAGGTATCTTATCTATGACAGATATCATTAGCAACAAACTACAATCAGAGAGAACAAAGTAGCTTCCAGTTGAAAAGGTAATTAGGAAAAGACGATTGAAGTAGATAAGATACACATTGTGGAAATCATCCTGAAGTAAAACGGAATAGATGAAGGCTAAAGAATACACTTCTAGTGGGTAGCTTATGCTCATCGACGAGAGGTAACAGGCGTAAATAAGTAAGTTATTTATAACAATTAATATAATCAAAAAAGAGTTTTTGTGGACATTATAGTAATTCAATGGTTGAATTTATGTGTCGATTAAAGCTAGACCACAATGGGAAACTTGAATGCACTGAACGGGCGTTTTGTCGTAGTATGGGATTCCTCAGCAGTGCGCATCCACGATTCCGCCTTGCAGGGCTCGAACCTAGAACCAATTAATCTCATGCGCGGGCGCTTGACCACTAGGTCACTGAGCCAGCATCGAATGGTATTCATGTCTAACTTCAATCAATCCATGAAGTTGCGCCACCGTCCAACGAAACGACCGTCCAGTGCTTTCAGGTTTTCCATGATGGTCTAGCTTCAATGGACTCATGAATTCAACCAATAAATTGTTATAACCATTAAAAGAATTCATTATAAACAACCATTGTTTATTGCTTCTTACCTCATCTAAATACCACTGACTATCAACTATTGGATCAATTTTTTGACTGTCGATTAATTTTGTTAATTCATTCCATACGTCAATAATTAATTTATTCGTTTCTGTTTGATTAGGATCACGAGAGAAGAGAAGTGATTTTAATGAAAATCCACCTAACAGTAAATTTTCATCGTGTAATTTCAACGGATTAATACGTTCTATATGAAACCACTGAAATAATAAAAGAATTTAGTAAGAAAAAAGTTAGTGAAATGAAACAATGGAATTTTTCTAAGCAAAGATAGATAGTGGCTCAGAGTGGAATCCAAGACCCGCGTTTCGTCCTAGTTGGGACTCGTCAGCTGGATTTACTTGCACTATAGAGTTGATGTTGACTCTGGGACTCCCGGATTCCACTGCTAGCTACCATCCACCTCTGCTTATATTGCTTGTGACAATACCAAGGCGATTCGCACAGGATGCATATATGCCTAAGAGAGACTGATCAAACGCAGTCCTAAATATCGATAGGAATATTCAAACAGCCAACACAGAAACGAATTAAAATGAATTTTTTCGGAATTCCTTAATATATTAATCAATGTGATGAACAAGATTTGCAACCCAGATGGATCTCTTTGATGGTATTGTGTTCTGTGAGCAAAACTGTTTGATGTCAAAGCTTTATACTGTTGCTCTTGATAACATCATCATATAGAATAATTTCACTTGGGGCAGACGCTAACTATGTTATCCAGAACGACAATGAAAGCTTTACAATTAAATCACCTTTTGCAAAATACATCACTACCAAAAACATATATTTGTATCATGGTTTTTGTAATCACCGACATTGATAAAATTACGCCGACCTAGTTGAAATATAATAAATAATCTAAGTGAATTGACGTATAGATGTACTAGGAATTTAATTTGGATGGTTAGATGAAACAGATAGAATCCACTTAGATTTAAATTTCTTACCAGTTGGTTGTCATCATTAAGACATGTATGTAATGTTAACAAAGATGATTCTTCTTGTGGAATTCGATAGAATTCGGTTAACATCAATAGCTCTGTAATATTACATCGGTTACTATAAAAATTATCTTCATCTATGTTTTTACTTTTGCAAAATTTAAAAGAAACGACATGCTATTTGTTCCGTTTACTGATATTTATTATAAGACGAAAAATGTCTACTTACTTTCATCAGTTTCAAAATATTAAATTTTTAACTTTAGGACTTAGACAATTGATTACTTAAACATTTCAATTGTTCTTTAAACCGTTATAAACGTTAAAATGTTACTGGACATTAAAAATGATAACATCAGATCAGTGAATTATTCATCATTTATTTATTTAAACATATAAACATTGGTACACGGAGGCACCGAATGCATATGCGCCACATAAATAATTCGATTTGTGTGAGGTCTAAGATACTTCTCGGGTGCCCTAACCGAAGCAGGTGGTTTTCTTAGGGGGCCACACCCGGAGCCTTTGACCTAAAGGTCTGATCCACAAGGCAGTGTAGCAACGTCAGGAGACGCAGTCCCATGGTTTATATGCCACTTGTTCCCTCAGAGTACTGGAGCCCATGTGCACGAATGGATTTGAATCAGGGTTTTCCAACTCCCCTAGGTGAACCGTACGTGTCTACCAACCTGGTTCAAGCACTGGACATTCGCTTTCCGTCCTCTGAATTTCGTAAACAACACCCCCGCCGCGAAAAGGCAGTGAGAAGGCAGGGGTTGTATGGACGTGGCTCTCGGCCGTACCAGTACATTTGTCATTCACATTTAAAAGTCATCACTCCTGATTAGTTCCGCTTTAAAATGATACTAATTATATAAGGCATATATTCCTTACTATTTGCGAAAACACCATAATAGATTACATTAAATGAACTGAGAGTTGCATACTACTTTAAAAGTTTCCAAGTAGCGTAATACTGTAATGAGTGTAATTATTATTTATAGTTTAATCTTAGTTTCTTGGTAGAAAGTGGTAAGTATAGCAGTGGCTGAAAATTTAGAAAAAAACCCACCGTTTCCTTTAAGTTATTGATATCGCACTGTCATAAGTAATTTAGTTTGTTTCAATGGTTGAGATCATTAGTCAATTGAAGCTAGACTACCATGGAAAACCTGGAAACACTGGTGATGTAGCTTCTATTGACTCATGATCTCAACCATTGAAATTACTAAAATCTCCACAAAATACCTTCTGATATAATTCAGTTTGTATTTATAGGTAAGTTGATATCATCCAAACAAGTTATAATTTAATATTGGGAGTAACAGGCGTAATTAAGTAAGTAAGTAAGAATTTATTAGAAAAGCTAGGTAGCTGTTATTATTCCTCGAACCAAATTTTGAACTCCATATAGGTAATTATTAACATGAACATTTTTTTAATGCGAAAATTATAACCATTAGTCAGACTCAATTCAATTCCAAATAGAGTGGATTAATCTGATGTTGATATTTTGACTGAAATATGATTACGTTTGGTTGGGATATGTGCATCTGATGCACATTGCCTCGATGTAGTCATTTCGACACAAGTTTTAATATAAAAGAGATGGAATGTGCCTTGGAGTGGAATCTAGAATACACGTTTCTTTTCGTTATACCAGTGAGTGGCCATCTGGACTCAGTTGCTAAGTTGATAACGTGATAGGGTTAAGAGACAGCGGTACTGGGCTCCAGTCAGGGAGTGAATATCAACTCTGGGGTTCAAACATATCCAGCTGATGAGTATCAAATAAAAGGAAATGGGAGTCCTGGATTCCATTGCTAGCCACATTCTACCTATTCTACATTATTCAGTTTGTTAAAAAATAGACTTTCAGAAATTTAATCCTCTGTTTATCAAAGGACAGATATTCAGATGAAAACTTTTTACATCAGTAAATTCTGATCGGATCTTACAGTAATAAGATCAAATTAATGATTCAGTGGAATAGTCAAGTCTAGTGCAAATAGACTTTTCAACATTACAGATTATAAATTTAGGACTGTTTAATCAAAATAGGTTCACTTACTGCATTTTGTAATTGTCGAAATGACTTATGTAAAGATTTTTAATGTACAGCAACTGAGATTGACAGGATGCATATTACTTATATACATAACAATCACATTTTTCAATATGAAAAATGTAGTTTAGAGTACTAGAAGGTGTCGAAATCAAGACGTTACATCAGTCCGCAAGACCACTAACTAAACGAGCCATATTCATAGGTAAAGACGATTTAGTTGAGATATCCACGATTATCGTGGGGGGTGTTGGCTGATATGTCTCAGAAAAGGTTAAAATGGTGCAGGTGGATTCACCAGATATCACCCTTTAGATCCAGAGTTTTATAATCACCTTATATCCCTTTTATTTCACGAGTTTATTTTTCGTTCTCTAACCATATTCTCTGTACCGGAAATGCTATCGGCTATTATTATTATTATTGTTATTATTATTATTATTACAACTATTCTTATTATTTTGATTTTCATCTTGATAATTCTGTCAAGCTGTGTTGTTGCAGTGCAGCAATACGAGCAGATGTACATTTGTACTAGAAGATCCTGGGTTCAACTCCACATGAGGAGTAGTGATTGTGCATCGCTTGACGATTCCATACCACGACAAATCGGTCGTTCAGTGCTTTCTGATTGTCAATGGTGATATAACACTGGTCGGTCCATGATTTCAATCTCCACAGTCCTATATTTACAACTAGATTTTCTGTAGATTATGATTAGCTGACAGTTTGTCGGTTAAATGAACATACAAAACAATTTAGACAAGTGTTCAGTGAATTGTACAAATTTCTATAGGAACAACAATTCATTAAAACATAGCTCTTTATTTATAAAACATCTTATTCAGCCTCATCTTAGTATGATCGAACTCCGATTCAAATATTTTTTTGAATGAGATCATGAACCAATTGATGTTAGACCACTATTGAAAACTTGGAAGCACTGGACGGTCGTTTCGTTCTATTGTAGGACTCCTCAGCGGTGCACATCCACGATCTTGCTCTCAAGATTCGAACCCAGGGCCTTCGATTTCGCACGTGAACTCTTAACCGATTCAAATAACTTAATCTATATGTCTTGGTTATGTGAGACAATTCACTGTGACAAATACATAAATCTTTTCTATATGTTAATAACTTCAGTTTATTTAACGCTAACAAACTTGATGTGAATTGAATTGAGGAAAAAAATTCTTCATTTGTATATTTGTTAATTTAACATTTTCAAATCATTCTGACTTTCTTTAAGGTTGACTAAGAGGAAATTTCTATTACATAAACATCCGTCCCTTTATAAAATCATTCAAATTGTCAATAGTGAAACAAACTTACATGTTTTGCTAAGTTTAAAAAGTTTTTCCTGTCTCCAGTGACTAAGTTTGACATACCTTTGTAAAGCAAACAAAAAGAAAATCAGATATCCTATATGACTGTTCACATTCTAATTCTTATGTTATCTATAGTTTAAACAATTCATAATGACAGGAAAGAATCAATAGTTTTCAGTAGTTTTTGGTGTGTTATTAATTGTTTATCGATATCCATTTAGCTTCAAGTCTCCCAAATACCAATGCGGTGTATACTACTGATGTCAACAGATATAAGTAGTATTATCAAGAGTGAAATGTCTGGTTGCAGAAGGTTAAACAAATCAAAGAAATGAGAACGAGAACAAAAAATCATTGTTGTGGAATCCAAAGAACAATAAAGTCTGATATGATTGATTGACACTTGCTGAAAAAGGAACAGTCAAGTTTGAGACAATTGATTGACATGTTGCAAATAACGTATTTACTTTATGGTTCTCAGATTTTACTAAAAGATTCTGTAATTTTGTATTCACATACATTTGATTGTCCCCGGTTGTGTTCTTGTTCACTACACCAGAACCAGTTACTTACTCACTTAATTAATTACTTATGCATGTTACTCCACATGTAGGAGCATAGGCCGCTCCACCTCGCACCACTTTCCAACCAATGGCTCTTCAGAATTGAAGGAAAAAAAACAGTTTTCTTGTGTAAATGAGATTTATTTATCAAACTTCTTTTGTGTTTGAAGTGATAGCAATTGATTTTGAACGTCAGTATAAATATCAACACTATAATAATCCAATTTTATTTTATTGAATAGTTTTTAATATGATTCTATTGCTAGACAAAACCTATCTTTCATTTACATTGTGACATTTAAAATGAATCTTATTCATTTCCATCTTGTTATCGAACATTATTATTTTATATAATGTCAGATATATCTGTTATTATTTAGTTAAATATGTTTGAATATAATTTAGTAAAGTTCGTTTTAAGAATTCTTTCATATACATCATTGATAAACATCATTAAAGAAGAAAACGATATGTGTTTGAGCTATTAGTTTTTCAGATGAGTTTTGTGGAGATTGTAATAATTTCAATGGTTAAGATCATGATTCAGTTGAAGCTAGACCACCATGGAAAACCTGGAAGCACTGGACAGTCACTTCGTCCTATTGTTGGACTCCTCAGCAGTGCGCATTCACGACCTACTGGTTTCGCGCGCGAGCACTTAACCACTAGACCACTGAGCTGGCCGGCATCCAACGGAGTTAATGTTTAACTTCAACTAATCCATGAAATTGAGCGACACATTCACCATTGTCTTCAGTGAGTTACTATCTCACAGCAGACCTGGTTGAACTCCACTGGTCACTACTTCTCATGATCTTATCCATTGAAAGTACCACAATCTCCACAAAACCCACCTGATATTAATCAGCATATGCTCACTAGTGACTGGCTTCACGAAGTATATCCTGGAGTTCTGGTGAGAACTCCCACAATAGGACGAAACGGCCGTCCAGTGCTTCCAGGTTTTCCAAGGTGGTCTAGCTTCAACTGACTCATGATCTTAACCATTGATATTATTTTCTCGTTAGTAAAATATGCCGAGGTGTTTCATTAAGAATATGAGCCATTTTTAATCAATATAGCGACATCAAGATCACTATATGTATGTATTTTAATATGAGGTTATTGTCAACCCCTACTTTAAATAGTTTCAGTTAGGAAACTAGAATAAATTATTTCTAATCTGTTAAATTATTATGTTATGAAAAGAAAGCAATGAAATACCAGATGAGGTGATATATTTCCATTATGTGTGTTAATAGGACAAATTAATCAGAAACAATTCTTTTTCTTCGATCTAAGGTGAAAACTCAAATAAACCTTAATTAGTGTAAGACGCTGAATAACAAAAGCTCGAAAAACCACTGTAACTGACTTGAATAATATCAAAACTATATCTCAGTATAGGGTTGTGAAGATCGTTGAGTTTTGATCGTAGCCAAGTGTTCGTGCATGAGACTGAAGGTCCTAGGTTCGAATCCTTATGTGCAGGGTCAGGGATGCAAACTGCTGAGGAGTTTCATACTAGGACGAGATAGCCATTCAGCGCTTCCAAGTTTTCTATGGTGCCCTAACACTGATCGATTCATAATCTCAATCAAAGCGATATACATGTAATATAATCATTTCAGTAGTGTACAGAAATTTTGCTTAAAATTTCAACACAAAATTAACTAACTTTTGGTTAGATATTGACAGTTGTTGTGTTGAATACAGGGGTCAGTTGAAAAAATGTTAATAACCAGACAAGGTCTTCCAAAGAAAAAAAACATATTGAAACAATTTTATCGAGTTTCTCAGCTACAAGAAAAACCAATGTTCACTCTAGAAGTGTTCATTAACTACTTGTAGTTCCATGCCTTACTATATGTGAACATTATATTTCCAATGACCTCAATGATTGAAATTTCAATAATTTGAATGTTTCGTCCAACAAACTTTTTCAGACTTCTTCAGTATAATCGTCAAAATCAAAGTTATCAAAGGATATATAATGTTTCACAATCAAATCAAATCTATACTCAGTGCTTATTCAATCATATTCAGATGTTTAGTGTGGTAAGTAGGATAATATGAGTCAGTTAAATGTGAATCATATGGAAAGTTTATTTTGTGAAGATAATTGAATGAATACAAAATGTCTTAGTAAAGTCTGAGAACCATACAGTAAATACTTCATTTGCAAAATGTCAATCAATTGTCACAACCTTGGATGTTCGTTATGGAAATGTCAATCAATCATCTCAGATTTCACTTTTCCTTTATTTCCACAACAATCATTCTTTGTTCTCATTCTTCTCAACCTTCTACCTCCAGATATTTTTTCCCCATTGATGATACATACTACTTATATCTATCGACATCAATAGCACACACCATAGTAAATGTCAGTTTAAGTTAACTTTTCATAAATCATATCTTCTCTGTACTCAAGGGTCAATTTTTGTCGAAACTCTTCAATCAAATATTAACAACTATTCATATAAATTCCATGATTTATGTACCAAGACATTCTTTCTTCATATCAGAATCATTTTGATTAATTAAAGATAAGATTACGAATTACCAATCATTTAATATCGTCTATGTAATTTAATTTAATTAATGATTCTAATCCAAAAAGAAGTAGAGAAACCTTTTCAATTAAATCAAATCGAAAGATAATTTTGCTGTGACTTTATAGCCCGCTAGTTATTACGTCATTTATTCGCCAACTGACATACAACTTATTCAATATTACTACTGTACTAAACCAATCATGTTCGTCCGATTTCATCAGCCTAGCATCCTATCGGTCTGTTGCTCGTCTAGTCCGTCCAGTTCAGTCCAGAATGCCAATAACAACCTCCATTATGCGATTCGTTTTATTTATTTCAGACATACTGGGTTTATATGTCAACTAGACAGACTGAAATACACCATAAAATAAGAAATAACATTGATACACAATAAAGCCAAAATGTGGCTGTGAACGTGGGAGACAGTAATCAATAAACTGAACATAACTTGAGAACAGTAAACCGTATAGTAATAATAATTCATGGGTCAAAATGGGGCTTATAATAAGAGGAATATAGATATACATAATCTAAATACTGAATAGTTATACCATAAGAATATACAGATAATATTAGTCCATTAATAGATCTCAGAAGTTAGTCGTAATTTAATCTTCACTAGGATATAACAACTTTAACTTGAATAAAAAGTATTATAGAATAACAAATCAATTTACCATAAATGATATGCTTTCCTAATGGTTTTAATATACCATATAATTTGTTTGTATCTGGTCCACTAATACAATCCAAAATTGCATCAATTCCATTAGGATAAAGTCTATTGAATAGAATATGAGCGGAAAAAGACAAAAGCACACACACAAAGAAAATAGTAATATCTAATACAAGTTCTCATAAAAATTTCATACGTGAAAGGATTCATTTATTTACTTTGATCAATATTTATTGCTGATGGGAACAGTGAAATAAGAAACGTTGACAAATTATGGAAGGTATTTTTAGGGACGTTATTTCATTTCATTCAAAGCTTGTAAAACAGTAAGATTTACTTTTGTCTCTAGTCTATTCTACAGATCATAAGCTTTCGTTTGATATATGATTCACTTCCATAGCCTTTTCTGTTCCAAAACTATTGGTATTTGTAGGTAATATTTCGTACTCTATTTTCTACGCTAATCCCAATTTTTGCATATAACTGTATTTTCCTAATTGTTGTGCGATGTAGTCTGGTTAGTCGTTTACTTGTTCATGTATCTTTTGACACAAATCTGAAATTGGGAACCAGATCGGAATTGAGAATAAATCGTGTAGTGTTCCAATTGACTTATCTTCTCTTACTCACGTACTTGCCAGCCAATCCGGTGGTGATAGAATAGTTTTTGTCTCTCTACCCCAAGCAATTGGTCTCACTTCGAACTCACGCATACTAACCTCAAGGTTAAGCCGGTCAGCCTATTGCGTCAAGGTCTTAATCTACACTAGACAAGATATCCTCTACAGAAAGTGGATAGACAGATCATGGACGTAACAGTTGCGAAAACTAGCTATATATTAGCTTTCTATTATCTCAATTTCATTACAATTCTAATATTCAAAGTTCATGATAAGATGAGCATGGCAGTCGGATTCAGAACGAACGTTTCGTTCTATTTGGAATTCGTCTAATGGATTTACTCTCATTCCAGAGTTGATATTCAATCCGGAACTCGAATCCAGTACCGTTTGATTCGAATGTCATCGTGTTATCCACTTAGGTACTGAGTCATAAGGAAACTACCACAATCCCCAGTGATCTGATGATTCCTTCATTAAGTATCACGATCTGAAATGTTATCAGTGACCTATTTTCGATCGCCATTGATACCCTGTGGAACTGGATCTTGTAAACCAATTGATTACCTACCAATAAGTAATATAATCTTTTATCACTGCACACTGTTGACTGAATTTTATTGATCAAGTCGCAGTGTAAATAATAGTTCAAATGATTTGAATACCTCCAACAATTAAAAACACATCGAGTTATGCATGCGTTATATTAGCTATCATTTAAAGAACGAATTGTGCGACGTTAAACAAGTATGAATATGATTAAAATGTTATTCATGAACCGACATCAGTAAATGTATTAACTTTCAGATAACCGTAAATAATGATCTTATGTTGAATGAATCGAACCCGAAACACACTTTAGTTCATTAAATGTTAAATGATGACCGAAGCTATTAAAAACTTATGGATCGAATACCGATAAAAATAGTCATGAAACACTGAACAAACGTTTCGTTCTACTATGGGACTCCTCACCAATGTGCAACTATAATCCCACTGAAGATCGAATCCATGACTTTCAGATCTCTCATCAAACACTCAACTTACGGGTCACATATTTGCCATTCATTAATTTAAATTTCTAACCTTAATCAATTTGGGATATTCAACAACTAATTTATAAAATCTAATAACATCTGTGATAAAAAATTTCATCATGCTACCTCTGTATAGTAAGCATTAGAGGTAAATGTGAGCTTACTGACCGATACCTACTTACTTTGATAAGAAGCAAAGTTACGAACGTGATCAACTATATTTAACTCAACTCAGTAACTGAGTGCGTATTCGTTTAGAACAGAACATTAATGTTATAACTAGTTTTATTTGTTAGACTACTTAAATGAATGGAAAAAGGAACTATTATTTCAGTTAAATTTGTAGCGGCTCGAATTATTCCCTTGTTGATACTTTGACTGAAATTTGATCAATCTTGCTTGCCATATGTGCATTCAGTGTGGACTGCTTCAATATAGTCACTATGGTACACGTTTGTATAGAATAGATAGAATTTAGCTTTCAGTGGAATGAGGAATATTCACTATAGGACTCGAACCCGATGCCATCCCAAATATGATGACTTCCAAAATTACATACAATCCATCTATTCTATATTAAACTATCATTTCATTTCAATTTATCAACGATGTACAGATTCATGTAGTCTACTTGATCCAGAAGTGTTATGCTAAGGATGATAGTAAGATTATACAGATGCCAAAATAGAATAAACAGTATTAGAATTCAAAACATAAGTTTTGAAAGTTTGTGGCTTGTAGATATGACTAAAAAACAACAATTCATAAAGGTCCTTACTAAATTTCCTTCGAGTGGGATATCTAGTAACTTACACTATACCATATTGCCATTGAAAACCATTTCGTTACTTAGATAGAGTAATATACACTTGCAAATCAATCGATAACAATAACATAAGAACTAATTAATGAAATTCACTAACTTTTTAATTTCTGTTACACAATCTTGATCAGGTTCTAACAAAATATCATAGATTTTTGTCAACTTTTCATGTTTTGCCTTGGAAGCAATACCAATTAAAGTTACATTTGGTATAAGTTTCATTAATTGTCCTAAAGCAGTTCCCTGTTTGATGAATAAATAAAATAACAAATATTTTCTTTAAAAAAATAGGAAATTATCATTTCGAAAAAGAAAATAAAACAGCAACATTGAGAAATATCAAAAGGGGTTTTGTGGACATGATTATGAGTCAATTGAAGGTGAAACTAGGTCCCGTGGGGCGGGGTCGTGGATGCGTACTACTGAGAAGTGCCATAATAGGACGAAACAGTCGTCCAGTGCTTTCAGATTTTCCATGATGATCTAGCTTCAATTGACTCATGATCATAACTATTGAAATTATATTAAGCTTTTAATATAATTTTAATGTATCACTTATGATTTGTACCATAATAGGAAGATTTTCATCATATTTTGGATTTATCAGCTAGATGTAGTTGATAGAATAATGTTCATATAGGGATTAAAACCTAGTGCCTTTCATTTCAAACGTTTAATGAGCTATTCACTGAGCCGCTGAGTTCAGAAAATCACTCACTTATCCAACGAGTATAGGGTTTATTTCAATATTAATAAGGACTTAATTTATCCTATTTCTGATAATCAGGATTGAATTTTAATCCGTCTACGCTTTCATATGTAAATAATGTGTAGATTCTCTCAATATAATCTTGTTGCAACAAGTATGTACTAAAAAAAAGATGAATTGCCCTGGATTCCACTGTTTGTCACTGTCCAACTAGCATGGAAAAATGAATATTTTGAATCAATCAACACAGAATGAAAATATAACAACAAAACTGATCAATAGTTCAGTCAGTCAGTCAGTCAGCTACAACGTAGGACCAGGCACATATGTGCATCGGTTCAGATTTCCATACCTCATTAGCACAGCAAGATGAACAGCGGATTCATAGGAGTGGTTAGGTCAAAGGTGGTAATATATAGGAGAAAGATTGCACTAAGGATATAGTATAGGAAGAAAGAATTAGTTCGTAGAAAGAAAGATATGAAGTGATTTTAATCTCTTAGTTTAAGGGAAGACATGGAGTGTATACACCGACGCCATTGTGATCGATTCTGAGCCATTTCACCAAGAGTCTCCAACCATTGGTTACGATAGTCACGCGGACCCCAACCAAGTAGTCTGCATCTACCAACATGGCTCAGACTAGAAGTTAGTGACTTCAAGCACTGATGCCACGTTTTGGTTTGGCCGCCCCAGTTCTAAATATCAATAACAGGATCATTTAAATCCTGAACCAATTAGTTATTTAACTGTTTTCTGTAGCACCTATCTTTTTAAACAGTATTAAAAAAGATATGAGACAAATACTTAATGTATAGTCTAATGTACATTCACAAATCAAATTTATCTAATAATACATCGTGTTGTGACGTAATTATTATTACACTGGTAGCATATGTAATCAACAGACTGTTTAAGTCATTTAGCAGCATGAAGTTATTCCAGATAGATTAGTAATAAAGGCTCCATAACCAAATACTTGAATCCCTACGAATAAACAATAATGGTGAAATTATAACTTACGGACGACTTTTGAGTGATCTTAAAGTAACTTAGAAAAGCTTTAAACATTTAATAGTATAGCCCCTAATTAATGTGAGGAATTAGGTTCAGAAGTTAAAAGTTTAGGTTGGCGATTAGAGTTAGTATTGAAATTAACTATGATGCTACTTAGCCATAAATGCCAAAATCCGATTGTATCTATCTTAAATCTGTCATTAATTCATTCATAAATAATATTCCCGCTATAACAATGATTAATGACATTAGTATTTTACTTACTACTCCACCGCCAGCTGAAAATATCAAAACTACATCACCAGAATGAACATTAAGTATATGATAGGTTAATATATAAGCTGGAATATAAGCAAAGCTAATAATTGCAGCTTTATTAACATCTAATGTTTTTGGTCTTGGTAGTATAATTGACTTGATCTTTCCAATATCATTTGATTCCGTACATTCAACATCTCCAGATTGTGTTGTTGAATTTGTTTGATTAGTATTAGCTTTTTCTATAATTGGTAATATAAGACGTTCACTCCAAGCACCATTATCAAGTAGAACTATAACTGGATCACCAACCTAGAAATAAAATTAAACAAGAATTCAATCACAGATTTAAAGAAAGGACGAAATGTAGTAGGATGAAGGATTTTCGAAAATTGTTCCATTTAAATAAAGTTTATTTTAGGGGTGAATTCAGTTAAAGAGCCAATGAAAATCAGTGAGTACTAGACAAATGTCCCATTTCAGTTAGGGACTTGTCGACAGCGAACGCTTACAACACGACAAAGTAGATAAATGACTAATGTTTTATTTATCAACTACTAGGTGTCATCACAGTTCCCGTAAGCTAGTGTCATCTTCAATAGTTTAGAAAACGGAAGTTTCTTTTTTTGACTTTCAATGGTGTGCTTTATCAATGTATCTCAGGCTACGATATATACTGTGATGTACGCTACCAACGTCGACAGATATAAGTAATATGTATCGTCAGTCGAAGGTGAAATACCTGGAGGCAGAAGGTTAAGAAGCTCAAAGAAAAGAGAACGAGAGCAAAAAATCATTGGTGTGGAAACGAAAGAACAATGAAGCCTGAGACGGTTGATTGACATTTAGCAAACGAAGTATTTACTGTATGATTCTCAGATTTTATTAAGAAATTCTGTAATTTTGTATTAAAATACATTCGATTGTCCTCACTTGTGTTCCCGTTCACTACAATACGATGATTCGGTTTACATCAATTCTGAAAGTGACTACTTCACGATGAAAATCAATCTTCGAAGTAAGTATATTTGACCTTCATACGTTGTAATCAAGCAAAATCCGGACATGTAAATGTTTCATGTTTTGGATTATCAGTCCGTTTGCACTATCTTTTCAATTAAAAAATGTAAAGTGAACATCAAATTTTTTTGAGACTATAATTTATGGAAGACTTTTGAGCAGCACTAAAATGACTTTGAAATGTCCATCACCTTACTAAGGTTAAATGAGGGTTGTAGATTAATGTGAAGAATAAGGATTAAAATTTACAGTTGAACGTTAGGGTTAACAATTAAATTCAATGTTTTCATCACAAATTGACATCAGCTATAATACCAAAATGGTATTTAGCCTAATGAGTTAATGAATTTCGTGCCAAAATCCAACACATGCTATCTTAAATCTAATTGGTTCGTCCATAAATTATAGTCTCGTTAGTAATCGGTATCAGATGAAATTTATTCAGTTATTAAAAGACTCTAATCAATCATATTCTCCAACGAACTGTTTACACCTATTTCATTCATTTATCATTTCCCTTATTATTACAGATAGACAAACACTTTAAATTCATATAGTTGTACAGTATGATATTAGTGGATTGAAAATCTTTGATCTGTCTTAGCTATTTGACGATTATTGATCTCATTTCATTCCAGCGAAATTTCCTAATAAGTTTCTTAGCTTATACACTGAAAATATAGTTTTAACTCTGGATATTAAAATGAAAAATCTGTCGTTAACGCCATTGAATAATATTAGATAGACGATCATTTCGTTTTTGTATGATTACTCCTCAGAAGTATCGATCCGTCAACGTAATGGGTAACAATGATATTTCTAGAATATTACAACTGGATTATAGTTGGTCTTGTAACTCATTAGAGGCCAATTAAGTGGTTTGAAATATAGGAACACACATCAAGACCTACACGTCCTAGGTCCGATCTCCATTGATGTTGTTGTAGATACACACGGATGAAGAGTCCTATGTCAGTTCAACACAATTGTACATTTCTGTAGTGAACACGAACACCATTGGGGAATAATCGAATGTATTTAACACAAAATTACAGGGCTTGTTAATAAGATCTAACAATCATAAAGTAAATGTTTAATTTGCAAAATGTCCATTAATTGTCTCAAAATGACTCAGACTTCATTGTTCTTTCATTTTCATACAAATTTCATTCTGTTTCCATTCTTTACTGTTCGATCCTCTTGTTTCTCTGCTGCCAGACCTTCTGTTCACGACTAACATCATCTACTACTTATGTCAATATCAGTAGCACACACCACAGTTCTACTAAGTTATGATTAACTGCGTAACAATAATCACTCTGTAAAGTAAGCTACAGAATTCAATATTTTCCGAAAATCCCTTTGTATTATAAATACACAAGTTATTTGATAAGTGAAAAACGGTACTCCAGATTTCTAAATATGACATTGTCTACCAGGTATTACATCCTGTTGGGATATCAACACACAAGCAATCAACGAATAAACGTTTTGGATTCCATTTTCGTTTATTATATAGTCAACAGTGAAAACCTATTCATTAGTGAATTGAGGTATTTTCTTCATCATCCTATACGGTATTACCGAGTGACAGACAATCATTCAACTTAATGATCAATAGATTTTACAGTTTTCAAATGGTGTTCACTGATCACATGTGTAATTAGGAAGTGTACAATATAAGGAAAAAAAACTCGTGAATGATGAATATGTCAATAAAGTGCGTCAGCTGAAAGGATTTCGTCTTTACAACACAAAAGTCAGAGTTTTGTAAATTTGGTTTGTGGCTAGGGAGGCAATCCTGAATATATGTTTTGTACTGTAAAATTCATTCATTGAACAATCTGTGGAATGTCCCAGACTAGCCACAATTCAAATATATTAGACCATGTTACTAAAAATAGTCTATAGAGACGCATCCACTCAAATTATACATACACCAATAAAAACTCTAAATTTAGTCCAAACCTTTAGAAATAAAAACAGTTGAATAACACTTTGGAGCATACGTTTATTCAACTCATCAGTTTTCGAGTAACAAATAATAACTATTCCACCTCCACATAAAGCTGATGATGAATATGACAACCGTCAAGAGTTAAAGCTAAGGTTTTCATCAAGAATTAACATTAGCTATAATTCAGGAGTCTTTAACTAAAATATTCTAGTCTTAGTCTCAATGTATGCAGCGAATTTTACTAGATTTGGATAACTCATGATTGACTTAACGGTTTTAGGTATTAATGTGATTCAGTGCTACAGCTTAGTAGCTGTAAAACATTTTGAATTCACAGCATACTACACTATAATTGAATTTTTATTCTTTCCATATCATCTACAAAGATATAAAGTGAATACAGTCTACATCTAAGTTTTTATTTATGTGTAACAGGACCCATATAGATAGAATTAATGAATTCATAGACAAGTAATTAGGGTAATTACTGATTATCTCATTAAATATGATGTAATCACCATGATCAAAGTAAATATTAACGCTGGTTAGTCTCAAAACAGGAAGTAAACATATAGAATGATGAAATCTAAAATAAATGATATATGTATATATTAACATAAATCAGCTTAATTCATGAATAATCCTTTTTTACAATAATGGTTTGTATTGGTTATTCTGTCTGAAACAGAACAGGAAGGGAGTGAAATAGCTCCCACATTAATTTCTTTACATATGAATATATTTCATCTTTATAAATTGACGATATTAAAGTAATGATATTTCATATATATAGTTCCCTTAATTACCTTTAAAAGAGTTAGATAAAGTATTTAAGTAAGAATTATATGAATTCCTTCTATCTTCTATATAATTCTGAATTTCAATAAAAGCATTTAGTGGCTAGCATTAGAATTCAGAACAAATGTTTCGTCCTATTAAAAACTTGTCAGTTGGATGCATTTGCATCCCAAAATTGATATTCACTATGGGACTTAAACCCAGTACCGTTCACAATCGCGTTATCCACTTAGATATTGAGTCCTGATAGCCATTAGCTTGTACGATGGGGTGTAGTTTAATTTATTTTGGCATTAGTTGTTTGAATCTTCCCATTGATGTTTAAGACTGCAATTGATTAGTTTCTTATTGGTATATGTGCATCCTGTGCGGATTGTCTTGATATTGCATTCCATCATACAACCAATACGAAAATGTTTCCTTTTGGTTATGTAGTTCATTTGTTTATTTTATTTTATAATAGGAAATCTATATATTGATATATTCAGTCATGAACCATACTTGATGAGTAAAGAATAAAGTTATAATACTGGTATAATAACTGAACCTATGGACTATGGGGCTGAAAACTAAACTATCAAAGCACATAACAAACGGTTAAACAAAATCATATCAAAACATTTCACGAGATGTCTGGTTGCTTAAAAGAGTGGCCTCATTTTAAGTTGACAGATACAATTCATTAGCACTAAAGACTAGGCGAATAGTGGATTGTTTACCACCTGACTGTCAGTCGATGTAATTATCTCTTATTAGTAATACCTGAGACTGTCAAAGTAAATAAATGGAATGAAACCCTAAAGGGATTCACCAGTTTTTTCATTATTACAGACAAAACTTGCTGATGATTTGCAGTTAGTACGAGTATTAGGTTGACGGTTTCCTACGTATAACCTCCAACTATCCAATGTCAAAAAATTTTGGCTGGGCTAAAGAATGGAGAGGAGACAATCAAGTTTTACAAAGCGGCTAAAAAGTTGATGGAATGACCATGTTTATCAACGAATGTGTGCATTCTACTTACGAAAAGAATCCCATACGTACGCGCAAGTAGGAAAGGAATGCTTCCAAGGCCTATATTACGGGGCTTTAATGGCGCTAACCGGTCGTCAAAAAAAGCCTGCTATTGTTAAATTTCAATCCTTACAAGGTTGATGAGAACTGATTCATATCCTGGCACTGTATGATAAACTGTCTATCTCCTTGACTACTCCACAGAGTCTAAACCTTAAAAAATAAGACATAATGAAGTCGCTGAGATGACATTTGTAGCAGATATCACAATTGATTGATCACTGGGTGGCGATCAATGTCATGCGTGTCTAGTCCTTATAAGGCATTGCAACATGATCGATTACATCTCAGTCCTACAGGAGGTCGGTCACGGCTCAGACAGCTCAGTGGCAACGTCTCTGACTGTGAAGCTGAGTGACACGAGATCGAATCCGCCAGGGAGTACCAGTTCCCTCAAGATTACAGGTACACCTTACTGACGAGTGCCAAGTGGCACGAAAACCGGTCCCAGGTTTTCTAGTTCACTACCTCCAACCAACATGGTGAAATATCCTCCAATCACAAAAAAAGTATTACAGAGTTTTCTACTCTTTCCAATAAAAACAAACCTTTTCATAACTTGGTTTCTAATTGGGTATATTTTATCCAGTTCTTTTGATGAATTTCTCAAGTCCAAACCCTTTCTTTAGTTATATATTAAGTGTTCTTTAAACAATAATTAACTACCATTGAAATTTAATCATGTAACGTTTTTATGTCAAATAATTCACGTTATATCAAAGTAACAAGACAAAAGGAAAAAAAATATTATTCACCTTGAAGTTTTCAGTATTAAAATTGTAAGTTTTTCATTAAACTAAGTGATTTCATCATGTAAATAACACACAATAGGACGAAACAACCGTCCAGTACTTCCAGGTTTTCCATGGTAGTCTAATTTTTATTGATTCATGAATTCAACCAATAAAATAATAAATTATAATAAGAATTCTGTAGTTCATAATGTTTTAATGACTTTTCATTAAGTATCTCATTAACCTGAAGTGTTTGTGTATCCCACTAAATATTTTTGCATTAATAAAATATATTAGAATTGGAATGGTGAAATCTTTAACGTCTATAAATAGGTCTACCATTGATTACTTAAAAAAAACTTCTTAAAACTTACTAATTAATGTTCAAAGCTTCAGTATTTCACAGTTTATTAATTTCTGTTAATATTACTTACTAGTAGTGTAATGTGAGCTACTCATTTAGATAGACATAGGTAGTATGTAATAAGAATTGAAAGTGGACTACTTATCATCAGAAGATGAGAACAAAGAAAAGAGAGAAGTAAACAGAGACCAATCAAAATGAAAATAGAATTGAAAGAATAATGAAGTATGTAAAGGATAAATTAAAGAAGATGTGCAAATGATGTCATTATTGTTTTATTGTCATATTTTACAAATGTTACTATGTGATATTACACCAAAAAAAATAAATTGACTTAACCCACCAAGTCTTTGTTTATTACACAAGATCTGTATGTAACGGATCTCCGATATGACATTAGTTGGTAGGTTATATTGTTGTGAAACAGTTATTCAACACTATTTGATCATAGATAGTTGGTGTCTATTATAAATCAATCTCTGTAAACATTACGTTTTTAAGACCAAAAATATTCTTTTACAATACATCTAATCACGAGTTCATTGGAAATAAATAAAATACTTTACGAGTGAAATGTTCATCATAAAGTAACTATAATTATTTGTCAAGTAGAAATTCACATTCACAGGCAATATTCATCAAAATTCAATGTTACATAACAAACAGTCATCACATCCTTACGTGGGACTAACAATGTACTGGATTTCTCAAACGTTTATTCATTCAAATTGCTCTGTAGTGACTGATATATTTCAAGTGAGATGCTAAACCACTATACTATATCGAATAAGGATTATGATATATGTCAAGTAAACTGAATTTAAAAAAGTACTGTCCGATGACACTTGAAGTTCATGAATTCAATCCCATAACGATCAACGATCTTTTCAATAACATAGGGTTACACTTAATCATCAGATAATCTCCTAAACTATAGAAAACCTCAAATCTGACCTAAGATACACTTATTGTTTCATGGATATGCAACATAAAATTATGAATAGACAATCTTTAACATTTCAGTTAGTGAGAATAGATGAGTATGAAAAGCTGGTGCATTTGTGACTCTTCAGCTGTTTGCACCTACATCTCAATTTTAAAGCTCACACTTAAGCCTTCATCTATTGATTTAATGAAACTAGATACCTCTCATCTTCATATTCTTAATACAATTCGCACTCGTAACAACATCTCTCAGTCAATAAAACTTTATCTACTTTGACAAAAACTACAACACAATCACAATTTATTTACACCTGTTACTTCTCGTGGAGCATAGGCCAAAAACTGGAGATTTCCAACTAACTCTGTCCTAGGCTCTTCTTCCCTTTATTCACAATTGCTTTTCATTCTCTTCATATCTACCTTCATTCCCGGTTCAGCAAATGGAATACTTATTCATTAAACATATACTTTATACTTATGACTGAAATCAAGGACACGTGTTTCATTTTGATTTCGGATAGTTGTCAGCTGAATGTCTCTATAGACTGCACACGTTTCCTGAATTTCATTACTGGCCATATAACAAATGGACTAAGAACTTATAACTCAAGTCTAGACCATAGAATTACTCCTCATAATTCAAAAATAATATCAAAGATTGATCTATTGCAGTACATTAACGAATCATTACTAGTAGAATACCTCTCATCAATTATGTGCTCTTAAAATTTACATTTGACCCAACTAAGTAATTAAAATAATGATAACACTCAATATTCGAAAGTTCTATTCATCACAGAGTGATCTTAGTTCAGATATCATTAAAAATCAGTTGAACACTAAATACTCTATCAAGGATTAAACCTACAACCTTCAGGTATTGCGATAAACACTAAACTATTAAAACCAATAAAGTTAAATTCAACAATAGAAATTCTAATTTCAATCACTTTACATTATAGAGAGACGATCTCTTAACATCATTTATAATAACTGTTTTACTTACACATCTAGAACCAATCTGTGACGAATACAACCAACAAATTAAACTAATCTACAGTTTAAAATTATCTTAAAAACTAAATGTTTCTATATTCATTCATAAAAATAATGGAATACTTTCCACATTACCTTATAAGTTGTTACTTTTTCACCGACTTCACTAATAATTCCAGTACATTCAGATCCCAAAATGAATGGAGGTTTCATTGCTTGATCAATAAGACCTTGTCTTGTCATTATGTCAAGAAAGTTGATACCGCTAAATAAATTTTAAAGTTAAACCAAACAGAAATTATTAGTTTAAAGGTCTTGTGAAAACTATAGAATTTATATTGCCAAACTGATCTTAGACTACCACTGAAAACCTGGGAGCAATGGAGAGCCATTTCGTCTTACTACAGACCATTTTAGCACTGAGCATCCACTATCTCTCATCTGGGATACTGACCTGTTAGATACATTAGACAATAATCCTACCCAATTCCAGCTTAGAGGTCTAGAGATTGAGAGCTTGCATACGGGATCAGCAATCGTGGATTTCATTTCAAGATGTGCAGTCGTGTATATACACTTCGGAGATTTCCTGCTCTAGGCCGAACTGATCGTCTATTGCTTCGAGGTTTTGAACGGTGGTCTAACTAAGATCATTTCGTGATCTAAAAGTCTATGAAAATAGAAATTACTAGTTCTTACTAGATAACAACAAAAATAATGATATCAATTTTAATGTCCGATATGCAAAATTTATTAATAATATACAAGATATTTGTATGATTCTGCACGTTTGATTAAGAACACAAATACTATTCAGTAGTTCAATATATAAGTCTATCAACATTTTTCATGTAAAGATGTATTACCTAGTAGTAGCTACAAAGAATTCCTAGTGTGAAACTATCATTAACAAGATCATTTGACTTGAAATTTATCTATCTGTTGTAAATACATTGAGTGATATCTAGATACTAATTAATGTTATACTTATCCAATATTTAATCTTGAGAGACCTGAATAAATCTCAACATGGTAACTATTCGATAGTTACTAGTGCTGAGTATGGAATTTGTAATAGTCACCATTCTTCTGTATGACATGTGTTTCTAATATTCACTATATCGTTATGGTCATTATAACAGCAGTGAAATATCTCACTGTATTCGTTATTACCTTTTAATTTTTATTTAGATTATCTCTAATTTCATTGATGAAACGTAAAACATTGGTTTACACATATACAGACATTATGTCTTTCATAACATGTTTATTCACTAAACTTTATATCATATCTATTAATGATAATTGTATGGTATTTAATCTTTACTTCCCTTGACTGTTGAGATTTATAAACGTTTACCGAAATAAATTATACATTTTCTATAAATGACTTGGGATTTGAAGTCAAAAAGATGAACTGCGTAAAGAAGCAAAGATGGATGGTGGCTAGCAATGGAATCAAAGACACGCGTTTCGTCCCATTTGGGACTCATCAGCTGAATGTATCTGCATTTCAATACCAAGTGAATTTAACTGCGTAAATATTTATTCGTTAATTTTCACGGCATTTTTCCTCAATTCCTAATCTTAATCATTGTTTATTTTTGAAAAATTAATTATTCATTAACGTTATCTGCGTTGTGATTGACTTATAACAACGTAAAATGTAAAGTAATTAGTCCTTTTGATGAATTTCGATAATGTAATAAGAAGTTCTAATAATCTTTGTCTTCTTATTACATTATCGAAACGTAAAATGCAACAAGGTCATAGTTATCGTTATAAGATAGTTATACGAAAACATTTATTACGTATCCTTATAAACTAATGTCACATTACTGTATATCTAAGGTATCGCTTTTGTAAAGTATCCAAAATTTTACACTGTCAAATTCTAGTTTGAATTATCAGATTATCTTAAACCGCATTTTTAATTGTTGCCCATTGCTTTCATTATTAAAGGTAAGTGCATTCTATGTGTCGTCAGCTTACTTTTTCTCATTACAGTTCTCTTCTCTAACAGTTCCTCTCACTTAGTGCTTCTCATATTCCCCCAGCAAATATGATACCTACCTAAAGCTGAATATTAAATTTCGTTACAAATAATATTCATTATTTAAAAATGTTCATAGACATTCTTGAAAATATCTTGATCTCATTAAATATGTACATTTCTTAAAGTATCATGACTGACGACAACCGTCGTTTTATATGACAGATTCAGTTATACATTGTTTATAGATCAATGAAAATTTTATTAAACAAATTGGTTTAAAAGGTATACTCAAAAATAGACTTCATTTAGTTCACTGAGTTCATTTCGTTTTGAGAAATAATTTTATTAAAAACTACATTATCATTTTCATTGGCTTTTATTTTGAACTATCTACGATAACAACTCAAATCATTGAGATCGATAATCTCTTAGACTATAACCAATCATTTGTAATGAAATGATAGAGATATCGTCATTTTTTCAAGTCTCTTACCACGAACTGTTCACGTAGCCACTTTTTCTATCTAACCATAGAGTTGGTAAAGTTATGTAAATGTAACACTCATATAACTTGTTACCTAATGGTGAGATATTGAGAGTTTTAACTAATTAGCTATCTCCTCAATACTATATTATATATCTTAAATTCTTCTAGAAATAATATCGACACTGTATGTAAATACAGGAAACACAACTAACTTTAAAACCCGATCATTTAAAACCAAAGTTTCTACAAATCAATTAAAAATCGATAAACATGCTTAAATTTCACAAAAATAGACTACAACCATGTCAAATACTAAGCAATTCCCCCACTGCGAGACCTGTATGTCTCAGATTTTATTCCAATTGTGGTCGGGCATTGTTGATAAACCCCTATACTTAAACGAAACAGCTATCCAGTGTCTCCCAGTTCTCAGTAATCATTGCAATAAGATCCATTCATGATATAAACTATAAAACTTAACAGTTGCTACACTAGCAAACTTATCAATCAATCAAAATAAACTTGAACTCTTCAAATGACTACTCTGATATAAAAAATTTAATTACTTACCATGCTTGTACATCAATAGCAACTTCATTTTTTCCTACTGATTTCACTTCATTCATATCTATTCTAATATGTTTTGAACCACCAAATGCTCCAAGAGTTACACATTTATAAGTTTTAATTTCTTTCTCTGAAACAATCACATTTTCCTTTATTAATTCTGTTGTTTCAACAGTTTTATTCTCTGTTATCCCATTGTTAATTTCTGTTTCTTCAGGCATGTTTAATGATTTAATTAATCTTTTAAAAAAAAAAAAGTGATACAGAGCAAAGAGAAATACTACTAAATTATAAAACAGATGGTTTTTATTTACTAACATTTTTCTATTTATCGATTTAAATAGACTTAATTATACAACATACAATATAACAACTTGGTTTTGAAATAAGTTACATAGTCAACGAAACTATGAGAATAGGATATACATTAATCCCTTACCTCCCCACCCCCCCTTCCCTTTTCCTATATATTTCTATTAAAAATAAGGGATAATGATCATCGATCCAAATATATATCCTATTTATGATTGGTAATTTGACATAAACTTAAAGAGTATAGTTGATTACTAATATATATATATATGGATATCAACCAATAATAAGCTTAGATATAATTAGCCAATCAGAAATGGTTATTTGTTATTTGTTATTTTTTTGTGGGGGGGGGGTAAACCTAGTTACAACGATATTAAGAAAGACAGAAGTCAAAATTCCCTCTCATTTCTTTTTTTTTATTATTTATTTTTTAATCATAAGTAAAATATGGAGAAAAAAAATAGCCTAAAAACAGCATTCTACTAACTGAGATAAGAAAACATATGTTTCTATTTAATTTATATAATTTCATGAATTATGTGAGATAATGTTTTAAGGTCATTTCAATGTACAAAAACAGAAACACAAATAGAAAGAATGACCTTAATGTTTGTGTTTTTCTAATATAATGATAAGAAAATATTTTTAATTGAGATCATGAACCGATTGTTGTTAGACCATCAATGGAAACCTGGAAGTATTAGATGAACATTTCGTCCAATTGTGAGACTCTTCAATAGTGCGCATTCACGACTCTGCTCACTGGATTAGAACCTAGGGCCTTGAATCGTACACGCGAACGCTTAACCTCTAGACCATTGAGCTGGCCGTCATCCGACAGTGTTAATGTCTAACCTCAACCAATCCATGAAAATATTAAAATATTAAAAACAGTGTTTATTAATCAAAAAAGTTTGGGGTACCTTTGGGTGTCCTCTGAGTTAAATTGCAGAGATTTCGTTGTTCATCTAGACAATATTAACTATTTCTATTATATGCAGAAGTAGGGTTCATCCCAAATATGGTAATATGTACATATTAAAGGGTAAGTTTTCATTTATTGTACATATTTCACAGTAGAAATAATCCTATATGACAAATTTCTTAATTATAATCGATTCGAAAATATACTCAAGCATAAAATCATACTTTCACTTTAAGGAAACAATTTTGTGACGTTCTATTTTGAATAGTTGCTTATTTCAATATAAAATCTCACTGCTACATATTACAATTAACTAAAGTTGAAGGTCTATTAATAGTTATCAAGTAATAATTTTACAAATGGTACAGAAGATTTTTTTAATATTAATATCATGTTTCGGATACCTTGAGCAACAACCTACTATGGGAAGAAACTAAACAAAGACGTTGGAAATAGATGGGATATACATTACGGAAATCATCAAGCTGTGTCACAAGGCAAACGCTAAATTGGAATCCTGAAAAAAATGGGAAGAGGAGGACCGAAGGACACACTGTGTGGGGAGTTGGAAGCAGACATGAAAAGGATGGATGGCAACTGGAAAGGATTATCCAGGACAGAGTTGGCTGGGGAATGCTAATGGGACCGGCAGTAGCCCAATAGGGGTTCCAGGTGGAATTCTATTTTAAGAAGCTAATTGAAAAAACATTATTGCTATTAGATGCTGAATTAGTATTCTAACGGTTAAGTGTTTGAGTACAAGATAGAAGACCCTGAGTTTCGTTTCCATGTTCGGGTATAGTAAGACGGAACGGTCATCGAGTGTTCACACATTTTCAATGGTGCTCAAACATGGATAGGTTTATGACTCCGATGAAAATCCATAATATCTGCAGCCCTATACTTACAACTGAAAAGAAGTATTTTTTTTACCTATATTCGTGTGATAATAACTGTTTTATTCGATACTATGAGTTTAGATCACACGAGATGTATTGGTCTCCTCAGAACCGAGCGTGCTCTCCACTGACTTGTACCAACCACGGATTTCCACCGACAGACTATAAACACCGATCATTGTCTAGTTCAGTTAAAATATCTCCTCAATAACATCAACTAAATGTATGAATTTGGAATTGTCAAGACAGACATAGCTGACATACTATTAAAATATCAAACTACGAATGGTTTCCTACTGAGAAATTCACTTCAATTCTGTTGCAAAATTAAGACGAATTTTAATACCAAATGATATCCAAAATGTTTTTAATTTCCTGTAAAATTTGATCACTTTCACCTAACGACCATATCCAACTTAAATCAATATTCAGCACAAACATACATTTAGTCAACAGTCAAGTGTATCTATCCAGATCGTTGGGTATCGAATAGGTTATCAGTCCTGGTGATTGATATAAAACAATACACAGAACATGGTGTAAAATTTGTTATCAGGATGATTGACCACAGTCTCGTGGTAAATACAGATGGAACGTATCAACTGGTCACGTCTAAAAGCATCGGGACTAATAATGGAAGTCCCTTAGATTGAAATACTAAGGTCGCGAGAACTAAATGATTCTGTAGGAGAACAATCACTAAACCTATTTGAAATTAGATGGTGATTAATTACAGTGTTTATTCATAGCTGAAGCAAGACCTTCTTCGAAATGACGCATTAAATATTTGTTTTCACTTCATTTTATTTATAGAAAAGTAGTAACCATTTGTAAAATGAAGATTTCATCAATCTTTATTCTATATGCGTAGATGATCATCAGTTACATAAGAATATTATTAGAGAGTGACATTGTTTATTCTAACTGATATTCATATTACGCTCAATATACAATAAGGAATATCAATTAACTTGATTAATTGGGAAGAATATGGTGATAGACAAAAAGACACTATAATCATTGATATTTCTACAAATAATTGAGGTCAACAGAAGTATGTTTGTTTATTTCAGCACTCATATAATATCCTCAGGTATTATGAAAATAACAAGATATTTTAAAGAAACATTTACAAGGTGTAATAGAAATGATATAACTTGATGTTATCTAATATTCAACCTGATAAATCGAAAAGAATTCGATAATTTTCAGAGTTCATTCCTTAATGCATACAATTTTAATATAATGAACGGAGGCCGTTGCATCATTGGACGAGTTTGAGAAAGTCGACCAAATCAGGAGGAATTGAGCTGCTGGGTTGGTCATCTGTGGATGATAAGAGGAATTCACATCTGTCAATTACATACTTTCCTTGGTTTGTGCGTTGAATTCTATCACAGTCAGTTCCAGTTATTACAGTTTTGAATTCAGAGATTAGTTTTCAATTCAAGAGTTGCTGATGTCACAATTGTAAACATATTTATTTTCCAAAGTATAACGAATCAGTTGATATCGTGAAATGAATGCAATAACTCATTTTGATCGACAAGTGTAAAAAGGACTTTGAGAATATGCTGTTAAACAAACTCACTTTCACACGATAGAAAGAGCCCAACGTTTTGTGATACGTAAATGGATTATATGATATTGATGTGATTCAATTTGTCATACACTGCATTTGACAACTGAGAGATAGGCTACGTCAATGAAGCAAGTGTATAAATAAAGTTGATAGAGAGTTATTAATTGATGTATAATTTCTTAAGAAGGAGTATTTATGATGTTGCTTGAACACTATTACACAAATGATGAATACTGAGATGCTGTAGAGGAACACTCCAATTCGGGTATGCAAAAGTTTGTCATCTGAAGATAAACTGTTTAAAAAGTCCACTGTAGAATTTTCGATAGCGATTCAGTGATAAAAACATTGATTATTTTAAAATGTGTAGTTATTTGTATGTCACCGAGTGGTATCTCACTCATTTAGAATACAAAATCTGATGAACCATTAGCAATGGTTTTTGAGATGAAAGATTTCATGGTTATAGAACTGAATCTGTTTTGATTGTTAAGAGATAGTAAGAACACACTATGTGGAATGATTCCAATACTTCTTTTCAAAATCCAACGGAAATCGAGCAAAGTAATGTTGTCAATATTTTGATGTACAGTAATCTATGTCCACAATCTTCTGTTCACCTCTTATTAATTTCTGCTCGTACTCGGTTATCAGCATGTCAATACAGAAAATCCTTGTTTTCTATTACAGTGATCCATCAATTCACAAAATTAATGTACATAACTACTCAATCAATGTGAAGTTGTATGTACAGCTTCTTTAGGATTGTCATTCATTTAGTGTAGACAAATAATTATTTTTGTGAAGAACGTTTGATTCAACTGGTTTCAGATAAAGAAAACAAATCATTGTGTCGTTGGTTACCAACAGAAACACCCTAGTGTGTGAGAGAACAAACCAGCCTCCAGCTGAAAAGAAAATATGGAAAAGACACTAAGGTTAAGTAGGACAAATCTTGCTGAAATCAATCAAACTGAATTACGAGGCAAATCATAACTTGGCATTCTGAAGGGCAACAAAAAAGTGGAAGGCCAAAAATCACTCTGCGTCGAGAATAGGAAGCAGACAGTAGAATGAATAGCAACGGCAAAGGATTGCCGAGAACAGAATTGGATGGAGAATGTTGGTGGGCGACCTATGCTTCTTCAAGAGATGTACCAGGAGTAAGTAAGTGAGTAATATATGTAAAGTTGGATAGGAATTTTTTAATCTTGTTCAGCTTGCTCATCTGGTCAATTCAGATATTTCATGATAAAAATTAGAATTAATTTCAACCAAATTTCAATTTATACAGTTGACATCAGTACAATTTACCAGTTAATAATACAATAAAAATTACACATCAGAATAAATCTCGTTTATTCACACATAATACTCCATACATTTTCATCAGTTATATATTTTATAGATAAGGTATTGTAGCGCTTTTATCTTTTAACTTGCATACATGGATTCTAATGTACTTCCAGAAGGTATACAAGGCGAAAGATATGAATGAAA